CTCGTCGGCGGGTTCGGTCGTGGGCGAACGTGCCATAGGCGGGCTCCCGGGCCGTTGTAGATGCTTCCTCTCCACCAATGGTCGTTGGACCGGCTGTCTCCACGGTATCCAGGTCAGGGGTGTGCTCTGAGAGTGCCAGGCTTTCCCTTCCCACCGCTGAGGGCGTGCTCCCGGAGGATCGTGTACCTGGTGGGGTCCCGGTCTCCGTGGTAGGTGACGAGGTAGGCGGTGCCCCATCCGTAGCGGTCGAGCTCGCGAAGCTTCCGGTTCTGGCGGATCCGGTTCTCGAGGAGGGCCTCGGGGTAGTGCTCGGGTCTTCGTCAGTCGGCGGCGCCGGCGTACTTCCGGAGGGTCGTGCTGTCTGCGGGCTCCAGGGCTCCGTGGTAGAGGTCGTCGTAGTCGAGCCCCACTCTGGTGCCCCCGAACTTGCCTGGTCCTGCCACGGCTGACCTGTCCCTTGCGGCTCCCCCGGCAACCTTGCGGGCTGTGCGTTGGGGTCCCCGAGCCTTGTCGTAGCCAGGGCCAGTAAAAACCCCGCTGCGGCCGCCCATGGCATGAGGCGGTACGCGGCTGGCATGTTCACTGCTGAGAGCGTTCTCTTTGCAACTTCGAGGCTGAGCGCTGCTGTGCATGCAAACGGCTTTGCACCAGCGGTCAAGTCCCCGTGTTGCTGCGCAGGTCTGTCGACTGTGTGCATATTTGTATCGGAGAGAGGGAGTAGGAAGCGGAGACGAGAGGGGGAGTATATATAAAGTGAGGCTAGTTGGCATTCTTGGCAGGTCTCCTGCTGCCCCTTCTTCTGCTCGGCTCTTCACGGGCACATGCCCCCGGTGATTGCCAGGAGTGCGGCAGACGGGGGTTGTCCCCGCGATACTCGTGCTTTCCTTTTGGCAGCCGGTGGCTTGGCTTGCCTGATATTCTGAAGTTTGGCTTGCTTCCCCGTCGCCCATTCAACATCTTGTTGCTCTACAAACGTGTCCAGCATGCGTTGCCAGTGTTCCCTGTCTTGGGCCTGCTGCATCCAGTCGGTCCCCGCGGTCTTAATGACCTTGCGTTCATCATCCAACTGGGAATTGAACTGGTGCGGGTGCCTGGCCCCGACAGTCGGGTGAAGGCGTTGCTGTGCTCGCCACCATCGCTGGTTGCGCCACTCGAGGATATCCCTCGTGGGGCTCGGGTGGCGGGCGACGTGCCCAAGAAGTTGCCATCGTACCCGGAGGATGAAAGAACTCCAGCGGCCCCCGCAGCATTTATTACGATAGACTTCCATGCGGGCTTCCCTCAGCGTTCTTTGATGCCACGAAAGCCATTCTTCCTGCGGGCCTCGCTTGCGGCCAATAATTTCTCTGACATAATGATATTGGATGCTATTCGCAGCTTTGAGGATGTAGTCAGATATTGGCCAAGTTTCGCAGGCCCACAACGCCGCGCTCCGGATCAGGGTAATGGACGACCGGAGCCGGTCGTCTAACCGCGCTTCCTTACATGTAAGGATCTTTTTGTTTGCGTGGTAGCTCCGGCGCGCTCTATGCTGCATCTCGCAGACTAGTGCCCCCGGTTGATTAATGAATGTCAGCGGGGAGCCGAGCACAGGCATGACGGAGTCGGGAGCAGCTGCGGGCACTGTTTGGTCCCCGATCACGAAATCTCTCTCTCTCTCTCTCTCTCTCTCTCTCTCTCTTTCTGTCTGGCTTCACCCGCACGGCTTTTTGCTAGGCCGAATGCACTGCTGTGCCGGGCCGGCACTGTCGGCATGTGTACCCCATCTCGCCGAAAGTATCCAGCGCCTGCCTTGCTTGCAGATCGTGGCCGCGCCTATGGCAGGCCACGACGCAAATCGAAAATGGGTGGAGCTCTGTGGTGGCACTCGCACGTTGTTACCCCTTAGCGATTGATTCAACTTGATTCGACCGTGCACCGTCAAGGCGCTGTGAGGTCGCAAATTTGTCAAGCACGTAAGGATAATCAGCGTGCTTCCATTAGATTCCGTAGCTTTGCTGGGCGAGGTCTGGAATCTGATGTTTCGATCCCCCTGCTGCATACAGCGTTTCATTACGCAGTTACGCAGGTCCCAGATGCAATCTAAAACTTTTCTATTTAAACCATCCTCAGACTCAGACAAACACGACATCCTTTCAAACAGGAGCTCCACGCGTGCGCACGCACACACAACTGGAATGGCTTGGACTGACCCGCCTGTCCTCTGTAGATGACGTACATGGTGCAAGCCATGCAAGAAACATGTCAGAGTTTTCCGAAAGAGTAAAACTGTTTTAAACAAGCATGTTTTGAAAACACATGTTGTGGCCACCAGCTGGAGTACTTCTCCCCAGGTGCACCACTGCAGGTACGTTTTCACTGCACTCACAGAAGCGTCTTCGTTGGCTGGAGACTTCTGTGATGCACTCCAGCCCCCTGCAGCAATCGAAAAAGAGAAAGAAAACTTGTAATGCATGAAAAACGATCATGAATGCAGAAAGTCGCATGTACAGCAGGATAACACAAACAACGCCCGCCGTTAAGGTCCGGGCGTGACTGTTGCAATCAAAGATCAAAGCACTCACACGATGCTCTTCAGAACACATGGTAATACACTGCATTTGTACCACGGTCGCGTCTATGTCTCAAGCCACACTCACAACTTTACAGCCTGGAGGTCAGCACGAACGAAAGGGCGAAGACGCGATACCGATGACAATGTTCGGGCATCACTCTAACTGAAGTTTGCGTGATGATCGGCACCTGCAAATAATACCAGCGACTAGTCTCAAATATGATCTTCGCATCTGTCGCCGTCCGTGCACTAAAGCCTCAAGTAATACCAGCGACCAGCGTTCCTGACTGGTCTCAAATATGATCTTCGCATCTGTCACCGTCCGTCACGTGAATAGATGACAGCGAACAGGGAGACGTTGAAGAGACAGGCCCGATGAGGTGACGGAAAAAGTGAAACAACTACAGATGGACGCAAGAAAACAATGAACGAAAGAAGAAGAATCAGGCGAAAATGAAGACTGCACTAAGGCCTCAAATAATGCCAACGACCAGCGTTCCTGACTGGTCTCATCTGTCGCCGTCCGTGCACCAAGGCCTCAAACAACACCAGCGACCAGCGTTCTCGACTGGTCTCAAACATTGTCTTCGCATCTGTCGCCGTCCGTCACGTGAATAGATGACAGCGAACAGGGAGACGTTGTAGAGACAGGCCCGATGAGGTGACGGAGAAAGTGAAACAACTACAGATGGACGCAAGAAGACAATGACCGAAAGAAGAAGAACCAGGCGAAAATGAAGACTGCACGAAGGCCTCAAATAATAATACCAGCGACCAGCATTCTTGACTCGTCTCAAACATGATCTTCGCATCAGTCGCCGTCCGTGCACCAAGGCCTCAAATAATACCAGCGACCAGCGTCCCTGACTGGTCTCAAATATGATCTTCGCATCTGTCGCCGTCCATCAGGTGAAAAGATGACAGCGAACAGGGAGACGTTGAAGAGACAGGCCCGATGAGGTGACGGAGAAAGTGAAACAACTACAGATGGACGCAAGAAAACAATGAACGAAAGAAGAAGAACCCGGCGAAAATGAAGACTGCACTAAGGCCTCAAATAACACCAGCGACCAGCGTTCCTGACTGGTCCCAAACATGATCTTCGCATCAGTCGCCGTCCGTGCACCAAGGCCTCAAATAATACCAGCGACCAACGTCCCTGACTGGTCTCAAATATGATCTTCGCATCTGTCGCCGTCCGCCAGGTGAAAAGATGACAGCGAACAGGGAGACGTTGAAGAGACAGGCCCGATGAGGTGACGGAGAAAGTGAAACAACTACAGATGGACGCAAGAAAACAATGAACGAAAGAAGAAGAACCCGGCGAAAATGAAGACTGCCAGCGACCAGCGTTCCTGACTGGTCCCAAACATGATCTTCGCATCTGTCGCCGTCCGGGCACTAAGGCCTCAAATAATATCAGCGACCAGCGTTCCTGACTGGTCTCAAATATGATCTTCGCACCTGTCGCCGTTCGGCAGGTGAAAAGATGACAGCGAACAGGGAGACGATGAAGAGACAGGCCCGATGAGGTGACGGAGAAAGTGAAACAACTACAGATGGACGCAAGAAAACAATGAACGAAAGAACAGGAACCAGGCGAAAATGAAGACTGCACTAAGGCCAAGCACTACTGGACAATTCTGTATAAGTGATCTCCACTGTGATTTCCACTTTGATCTCCAGAAGCTGATTTCCGGACATGACTGTTGATCTCCACTGTGATCTCCACTTGAACATGTGTCGCAATCCCACCTGATTTCCAGACCTGCTAAGACAAGCACCCCGGTGGGCCGGCATACTTCGCCGAAAAGCGACAAGGCCCGCATGAGGGAGCTCTTGTCGAACACAACTGGAATGGCTTCCACTGACCCGCCTGTCCTCTGTAGATGACGTACATGGTGCAAGCCATGCAAGAAACATGTCAGAGTTTTCCGAAAGAGTAAAACTGTTTTAAACAAGCATGTTTTGAAAACACATGTTGTGGCCACCAGCTGGAGTACGTCTCCCCAGGTGCACCACTGCAGGTACGTTTTCACTGCACTCACAGAAGCGTCTTCGTTGGCTGGAGACTTCTGTGATGCACTCCAGCCCCCTGCAGCAATCGAAAAAGAGAAAGAACACTTGTAATGCATGAAAAACGATCATGAATGCAGAAAGTCGCATGTACAGCAGGATAACACAAACACAAACACACGTACGCACGCACAAATCCAAATGCACCGAAAAACATGCGCAGATACTGATAGGGTCACACACCTACACATGAACATGCGTCAACACATGCCGACAAACAAACAACCAAGCACTAACCAAGCAAACAGACAGACCGACAAACAAACAACCAGACAATGATGTGAATGATGTGGTGCTGATAGGGACCCGCCGCGGATATGTCACAGCCGCATCGAAAGGTGTTGCGGTCTCATTGATTTAGGCCCCCGACAGACATCTTCATTAGGTCTTCCCTGGACTCTTCTGGCTCCTTCCGAACATGCAGTCGAAGATAGACGCAGCTGCGATGCTTCGCACATCCGCACGAGCCTCTTGAACTTTGGCCTTGGTCGACACTTCCGGTAGCGGGCCGGAGACAACCTCGCTTTGAATGCTAGGCGCTAGGCCCAGGCACTCCCGCAGAGTTGAATGGCCAAACACAGCACCAGCATTCGCAAGCTGCGAAGACAATAGTGCAAACGGTCGCTCCTACTGCAGCGTTAGGCACTCATGCCTCCTGAATACTGCTGCGCTCGTACCTGCAATCCCTGACGACCTTCTCACGTGCACTGCCTCATGCCTGCAAGGCATCAATGCCCTGGGCAAATCGGATATAGCAAGTCCGGCTGAAGCTTGTGGCAAGGTTGCATTGCATCTTCATGACACTCAAGGTGGGCTTCCAGAGATCATATGTTCAGTGATGTTTAGATATGTTCAGCATGACCCACACACTGCACCCACCCGGCTCGTCGACGCCCGATCGAACTGAAGGACACAAGATTCGGGAGTTCACACTCTCTTTTTGGGGACGCTAAGCAGTGAGCCGTGCGTCTCGGTCTACTCCTTCCTTCTCGAAGCCACCAACCCGGCCCGGTGAAGTGCGGGAAACCTGTAAACTGTGTGGTAGAGCCAAAACAGCCTTCGGATGAGATCAAGCGGGGAAGCGCCGAGTAAAATACCGCGCTGCATGTCTGCTCTGCACAAGGAAGCATCAACTGAACTTAAGGAGGTCCACTGACCCGGGTTTTCGGGATACCAGGGTTAAGCGAATGTGCTCCGGAAAAGGTGATGTTAGCAAAATTCGACTCTCCGCGCTAGACTGAATTCTGTACTCCACAGGCTGATACCGCTGGCTGGAAGACAGGTCGCCATGCTTGGAAAGCCTGATCCAAAAAGAAACAAAACTTGTCTCATCGGGCACGATAGGTCACAGGCGATTCCCCTGCTTGCTACGACAACGGACATCAGTGTCACAAGTGCACTTGGCGAGTCTAGAGCGGATCAAGTACTTGCAGCTGGATATGCAAGCGCCCGCACGTGCAGCGGAGAAGCCCATCCACATCGCTTGCCCTGGCTTTGGCATGGGCGAATGTGCAATGGTGTAGGGTGCAGCCGGAGCACCTCTGCTTTGCTGGCTGCGACTCGAGCTGCAATGGCATCCCCTTTCTCTTGACGCCATCGCCTCAGTTTGCAACGTGCAACAATTATTCCATCGTTCCCCTTCACCTGCGCTCTGGGTGGCTAGCTCACGTGATCTGCTCCGCCCCCTCTCCTTCTCCACATCCTGATGAAACTTCATGCAACCCGTTGAAACTGATGACCCAACAGCCAGTGCAGAGACATGCGCATCATCCTTCCTCCTGCTCCTTCTTGGGCAGCAAGGCAGGATCAACACACACTGTCCTGGCACTCCCAAGAAGCTTCAACACGTAAAACCTTCTCATAATGGCATGCCGGCGGCCGACGCGGTGAAATCCTCTTGCCTGGGGCAATACCAGTATTTAAGGACTTCAGCATAACACAACTGACTGTGCTGGATGCCATCAGAAGCACGTAGCAGCATCTGCCGGCTTTAGCCCAACAGCCGCCATCTCATTGGCCACAGCCTGCAACCACCATTGCGAGTCGAATAAGCCAAAACAACACTATTCTCAATGCCTGCGCTGTCGCTTCGACCTCTTGTTCATCACCATCCTCATCGTCGTCCTCCTCAAGTGCTTTCGGTATTCCTTGCAAGTTGAGAACTGTCGAGCTTCCGTTCCTTTTGCAGTTGCCAAAAAGAGCAGCAAAGGTAAGCCACTTGCTTTTTGGGGCGACGTCCTCCACAACCTGCAAAAACTGAAACTCTTTCGTACTGTCACTATCGAGGCTTCCGAACCTCAGCCAACGTTGCTTGCTAAGCCTATTCATCCAGCCGACCATGGTGCGGCCTCGACATTCTCTGGCTTCAGCTTTACGAAGCGGCCCTCCAAGCTCACCTCGCAAAGTTAAACTGGTGGGCAAGGCAGGTGCGCAATGCTGTGAGGTGTGGAAGCAATCACATCAAACAGGTTGCAGGTATTTATTGCATCTGCCTTTCCGCCTGAAACGTGATTGTCATGGTAATTATGAAGAAAGCTCGAACCCACGTCCCTGAAGGTATCTGGGTTGCACTGCCACACTTTGAGGTTTGGGATTGTGACTTTATTGCAAGCTCTGGTCTGGGTGTCACATGTTGGGCTCCCCAGGATTCAAGTCTCGTCCCGAGCTACGTGAGGCTATCGTCTGTGTCATTGTATGAAGTGGCTACTGGTATGATGATTGTTCCAGAGTATTCGCGGATCCCACTCTCAAAGGGATCCATAGATATCGTCAGCATCCACAACTAATGCACGCACTCCTGGAGAAACCAAAAGCGACAGAAAGAGAGACGCGGAAAGACAGAGACAAACTTAGCAAGATTTACATAGCAAACTGGTCTAGTCTTCGTAGATGCTTGAAGTGCAAAGCGCGGTGGCCTGGTATTTTTGTTGATCATCGACGTAGCCTACAGCGAGCTTGCACTGCACAGGGGCACTTTTGGAATGCATCTTCAGAAGACGCCGCATCGGCAAGCAAGGCTGCGCACGAATAATGGTGGCTCTTTTGCCGTTGTTTTCTGGCTTGGACACCAAGCCTTTCAGGACGACAGCACCTTATAGGACAGGGCCGGCAGGTCCAAAACAATCGAAGTTCTCTCTCGGAGTCAGGCATCCCTCCCTCAAAAGGAATGACGGACCGGCGACTGGAGCCTGCGTAGTTTCTGCCCGATTCTAGAGAAAATTGCGCTTTCTAGTATCCTTTCAGGTCCTCCATGGCCGCAGGGCCCTCGGAGGTCTCGCCAGATTCCTTGGGGCTGGCGGCTTTGGCCAGCTCGTCTGCCTGCTTCCTGGCATGGCGGAGTCAAGGAGGTTTCACTGTCATGTCAGCACCTGCCCTGCACCTGCCTTATCGCTGCAGCTACCTCTGGCGCCAGCTTGCCAGGTGCGATAGCCACCTGCGCGGCCACCCGCATGCAGGACAGCCACGGACCCCTGGCTGGAGTGACGCAGGAGCCTCGTTCAAAGCTTTCGCATTCGAAGGAGTCTTGAACGAGAGATGTTGAACCTGCAAACGAAAACGCTTCGAACGACGGCCACAAGCAAAGAACAAAGTCAAAAAGAAACCCTCTTAGATCCTGTTGACTGATCGCTT